AAGAGAAAGAAAAGAGAGAGAGAAAGAGAAAGAGAAAAAGAGAAAAATCAAGAGAGAAAGAAAAAGAAAGGAAACAGAGAGAAAGGAAATTATTCGGAAACCTGTTCAAGAGGTCAGACTATTATACCTATTTTTCCCCTAATACGAGCGAGAAACCGAACAAAAGACAATCACAAACGAACAAACCTACACAAATCCCCCCCCCCCCCAAAAAAAAAGACCGCCCCCCCCACACACCTTCAATCACAAAAGCGCAAAACACTTACCATTTAACCCCACCCCACCCCCACCCACCCACCCCCGCGCCCCCCCGCCTTTTTTTTTTTTCCAGCTATCCAAGGAATCATCATTCATCCCCCAAAAGTGTAATTTGCCCGAATATTGCATGACTTTCCCATAGATACTCGTGGCGCACTGTGCATGGGTTGGCTTCCTGTGCAATGTTCATTTTCAATACGTATTGGAAAGTAGAGGGGGGAGAGGGGTGGGGGGGAGCTTGCGGGGGGCGCCGTAAGGAGGGAGAGAGAGAGACGAGGCAGAGAGAGAGAGAGAGACGAGAGACAGAGAGAGAGAGAGACGAGAGAGAGGAGAGAGAGAGAGAAGAGAGAGCAGAGAGGGAGAGAGAGAGAAGAAGAGAGAGAGAGGAGAAGAGAGAGATGATAGAAGAGAGAGAGAGAGAGAGAGAGAGAGAGAAGAGCAGAGAGAGAGAGATAGAAGAGAGAGAGAGAAGAGAGAGAAGAGGAGAGAGAGGAGAGAGACCCGCAGGAGAGAGAGAGAGAGAGAGAGAGAGATAGAGGAGAGAGAGAGGAGAGAGAGAGAGAGAGAGAGGAAGAGGAGAGAGAGAGAAGAGAGAAGAGAGAAGAGAGAGAGAGGAGAGAGCGAGAGGAGAGGAGAGAGAGAGAGAGAGCAGAGAGAGAGAGAGAGAGAGCAAGAGAGAGAGAGAGAGAGAGAGAGAGAGAGAGAAGGAGAGAGAGAGAGAGAGAGAGAGAGAGAGAGAGAGAGAAGAGAGAGAGAGAGAGGAGAGCGAGAAGAGGAGAGAGGAGAGTGACAGAAAGAAGAAAAAAAAAGATAAATAGACAAAGATAAATGAAGAGAAAGAGCGACATAAAATAATAAAAAGCGAGAGGAAAAAAACACACAAAAAAACAGTCACAAATCATATATATACCTAGGGTGGAGCAAGGTGTCCGAGAGTCTGGAGAACGGGGGGGGGGGGGGGGGGGGGACTAAGATAAACCTCCGTAAAGAGAGGATTAAACCAGATTAATAAAACATACCAGGCAACGTTTACCCAGGCTATATTTCCCGCTAAACCCTCTTAAGAGCCCGCACACAAATCAAAACAGGACTATAATCATGAAAGCCAAACGAATAGCATAACAAACAAACACATATTTTCCGTTTATTTTCCCCTTGGAGAAACAATGTAACATTTATTTACCTTCTGTTAAAACGACCAACATGTCTCTTGTTTATCATCTCTTTACAGATACAACATGACTTACTTATCCTCTGTTAAAATAACCCATATGCTCTTGCTTATGACCTCCATAAAGATACAACATAAACTTCTTTGAAAACAACCAACATGTCCCCCTGTGTGTTTCCCCTTCCACGAGGCAACATAACCTTCACTTATCTTCCTCTTTAAATAACAAACACGTTTCCAATTCGCCAATCTCCTCTAATTATTCATGGACATGCCTGCACCAACCCTTCCTCATGACACCCTCGGCAGAACCTCATGACGCTCATATCATGACCAGATGACCAGATCGCTCATGGTGGAGAGTCCTCGGAGCTTTTTATCAGGGAAAAGGGGGGGGGGATAGCTGCAATAATGCTCAGGGTGATAATGATGATGATGATGATGATATTGATAACGATAATAATAACAATAACACCTACAACAACACACACATATATATACATATACCATACCACTGTTGCAGTGCAGGATTCTAGTCTTCATACACACATAAATTCAAACATACACATACACAAATATATGTGTGTATGTATATATGTACATATATATACATATGTGTTGTGTACCGCGTGTGCTGGTGTATGCGGTGTATATAAATGTCTGTCTGTGTCTCTGCCTGTCCGCTTGTCTGCCACTGCCTAACAATGAACCCTCCCCCCCCCCCACCCCCGGCCACGACGCAACTCCATAACGAAGCATAAACAGGAGAAGAAGAGAGGGGGAGAAGAGGAGGGAGGGAGGAGAGAGGAGATGATATGAGGGAGAGAGGAGGAGAGGATGATATGAGGGAGAAGGGAAGGGAGGAATGAGGGGAGGATGATGGGGGGATGAGGGAGGGAGGAGGGAGGAGGGAGAGAGAGAGGATGATGATATGGAGGAGGGGGGTTGGGGGAGAGAGAGGTATGGGGGGAGGGAGAAGAGATGGGAGAATGATAGGTGAGGGGGAGGAGGGAAAGGGAGCATGGGAGAATGATATAGGGGAGAGGAGGGTGAGGGAGGGAGCATGGTACGAGAATGATACAGGGGGAGGGAGGGGAGGAAGGGAGCATGGTATGGGAGGTCTGCATCCTTATCCAATTTCTCGAGGAGCGCGTTTCCAATCTGAGAATCGGGGGGAAACGGGAAGAATTCGCTCTTACCCGCAAACTCTATTATACCTGGGGGCGTGAGGGGGGAGGGGAGGGAGGGGAGGGGGGAGGGAAAGGGAGGAGAGAGGGGAAGGGATGGGGGGAGGGGAGAGAGAGGTTGTAGGGAAAGGCGGATGAGAGGGGAGTGGGGGGGATAATGATGAGAATAGGTGGAGATGGGGGGGAGGGGAGGGATGGGAATGTATGAGGTAGAGAGAGAGAGAGAGAGGAGAGAGGAGAGAGATAAGAGAGAGAGAGAGAGGAGAGGAGAGAGAAGAGAGGAGAGAGAGAGAGAGAGAGAGAGAGAGAGAGGAGAGAGAGAGAGAGAGAGAGAGAGAGGAGAGGAGAGAGAGAGAGAGAGATGAGAGAGAGAGAGAGAGAGAGAGAGAGAGAGAGAGAGAGAGAGAGAGAGAGAGAGAGAGAAAAAGAAAAGAAAAGAGAGAGCGAGAGAGAGAGAGAGAGAGAATAATAAAACAATGATAAGAGAAAGAATAGCAGAATGGATAGAGAGCATATGACACACATAAACAGACGCACAAATAAGAGAAAAAAAAAAGAAAAAACAACATAAACCAAAGAAAAACACACAAGAACACAGAACAAGCACAAAGTCGAGCTCGCATCCCTCACCTCCCCCACCCCTTCCCAACTCCCCCCCCACCCCCAGGCAAAAGGAAACAGTTTTTTTATCTTCACTCAGTGCCCCCCCCCCCCCACGTTTCATCTTCACTCCCACACAGCTGGAGGAGGCTTATCAACAACCTCCTTTATTTTGCTGTGAAAGTGAATGAATGAAAGAATGAAATACTGAGTGAATTCATTAATTAAACACTTTGTTAAGTAACAATTTAAAGTAAAAATATATATAACAGCTAAAAAGTTAATTTTGTTGCACTGAACGAAGATCACATTCATTATTTTTCTCACAGAATTAACATAATCCATTATAGTTATCTAGCATCGATTGCGAATGACAAAAAAAAGAAAAAAAAACTTTTCAAGTCATTCCTTATATCTCACAACTTTTAAGCGCCAAATTTATCGCACAAGAGATGACAAAAGAACGCCTGAAATGGTCCCCCCACACCCACCCACCCCCTCCCCTCAAACCCCGGGTCTAACCTTCCCTCACGGGAAGACCAATCGACAAAAGCCGCCCCTGAAAAAATCGCGCTGCTATTATATACCCGACGACCAAGTCACGTGACTGGCCTGCTCGTCTCCCCCTCCCGCTAGACTAAAATGGATCCTGAAAAAAATCGCGCGGCGGAGGTGGAGAGAGAGAGAGGGGAGGAGAGAGCGGAGGAGAGAGAGGAGAGAGAGAGAGAGGGGAGAGAGAGAGAGAGAGAGAGGAGAGAAGAGGAAGGAGAAGGGACAGAGGGACGAGGAGAGGAGAGGACAGAGGAGAGAGGATAGAGAGAGGAGAGACGGAGAAGGGGAGAGGAACAAGACGGGGGAAGGGGAGAGTAAGGGAAGAACTAAATGGGGGTGGAGAAAAGGGATGAAGGAAGGGAAGAGAGAATTGGAAAAAAAAGACGAGGGAAAGTGAGAGAGATGAGAGGAGAGAGAGAAAGTGAAAAGAGAAAAACAAGAAGGAAGAAGAGAAAAGAGAAGTCTCCACGGTTAAAAATAAACATCAACGAAGGAGAGAAATAAGCGGAAGGAGGAGGGGCACAGAGGGGAAAAGGGAGAAGAATAGTGAAAGGGAGACGAAGATGAGAAAGTGGGGGGGGAGGGGGGAAGGGGTCCGCGGCACTGCCCCGAGGTATGCCGCATCGAAAGAGGGAAGTTAATACCCTCTTTTCTCCCCTCGAATTCCTCTTCGTTACTCCATTCCCGAGGACAAATGTTGAAACTATTCTACGATTTCCCCTCTTTTATTTTTTTTGTTAAGAGTTTGGCGGTCAATTCGGTACTGAAACAACTTTTATGTATTTTTTTTCTTTCCAAGAGTGTGTGTGTATGTGTGTGTTTAATGATATTTCCTCTCTTTCTTTCTCTTTGTCTCTGTCTCTGTCTCTCTCCCTCTCCTTCTCCCATCCCTCTCACCCTCTCCGCTCCCACCCACCTCCCCCTCTCAACCTCACCCTCTCTTTCTCTCCTCCTCCTTCCTCTTTCTCTCCCTCTCCCCCCTCCTCCTCTCCTCTCTCCCCTCTCCTTCTCCCCATCCCTCTCCCCCTCTCCTTCCCACCCCTCTCCCCTCTTCCTTCACCCACCCCTCTCCCCCTCTCCTTACCCTCTCTTTCTCTCCTCCTCCTTCCTCTTTCCTCTCTCCTTCTCCCATCCCTCTCCCTCTCCCCCTCCCCACCCCTCTCCCCCTCTCCCCCTCAACCCTCTCTTCTCTCCTTCTCCTCCTCCTCCTCCTCTTCCTCTCTCCTCCTCACTCCAAAGCTGCCCCAGAGATATGGCTTGGCGCATGGAATTACCCTGGGGTTTACGCCAGCACTCGGGGCCGCGATGTAAACTTTTGTCTTGCCCCGAAATGCTGCTCTCGACACGGCTCTGCATCGCCTCATGTTGGATCGGAAGGCAACACGCATGCGCACTATCACTCATAAACCTCGTATGTGGGGTTTATGAGTGAGTGTGAGTTGGAGCGGGGTATGGGTGCGAGTGTGATTCTGAGTGTAGGTATGTGGAGCGTGTGAGTATGAGTATATGTATGAATATGAGTATGAATATGAATATGAGTGTGAGTGTGAGTATGAGTATGACTGTGAGTTGTGTTGGATCGGAAGACAACACGCATGCGCACAGGACGTCATATGTGAGGTTTTAGAGTGAGTATGAGTTGGAGTGGGTGCGAGGGCGCAGTGTGATTCTGCAGTATAGGTAGTAGAGAGGTTGAGGGAGTGTAAGTATGATATAAGTGTTGCAGTATATATATATGTTCTATTAATAAAAATCA